CTACTCACCAAGATAGAATGTAGAACATTATCTTTATAAACTGTGTCATGCCAATTGAGCTAGATGTTCCCCACGACCATGGTCCCCACAGCCCTCCGCCTGGCAATTCAGTCCTTCAGGTATCCTTCCTGTTCTTGTGGGTGAAAGTTTGTCCCCCTCGTAGTTGGAGATGACTGACTGCCTCCTGAACTGCAGACCTGAGGCCTTTTTGTTCGCATAGTTTCTGGGGCACACAGGAAGAAGGTTGTATTTCCTCATCTGCCATTTTACTTTGTAAAGTAACCAAGGAAGAGAAACCTTCTGATTTTCTCTCTCAGTACTTTTGGTAGTTGCTGGAGCATATTGGGAACGTGCAGACACACCATGTTACAGGACTAATCCCACAGCTCTTTGTAATTAATGTCTGCTTTTTGGTGTTCTGGGCGCCCCTGGTCAGTAACTGGGCTTCCCTTCCATGAGTGGCGCAGATGTTTAAGTGCTCAACTACAAACTGAAAGGTTGGCAGTTTGAACCCACCCAGAGGCACCTCAGAAGAAAGGCCTGGTGATCTGCTTCTGTAAGGTCACAGCCATTGAAAATCCTATGGAGCACAGTTCTACTCTGCACACATGGGGGTCGTCGTGAGTCAGAATTGACTCAGTGGTTTTGGCCTGCTGTGCTGGAAAGCCTTTTGCCGCAGAGCAAGTTGGTGCTCAGTGTGTTCTTTTTATTTTTTTTGGAATTTGTCAAATATTTAACTTATTAAAGAACCAGTGAGGTGTTCCAAGTCTCAAAGGAGACTCCAGAGAACAGACACATGCACAGGCATCAGGAGTGCTGAGATGAATTTGCAAATAGATGCAAACCTGGTCACTACCCACAGGTCAGTAGTCAGTTGCATCTCCACCAGAGAAAACGTATTTGCATTTGTACAGACAAGAATCCTTTGCATTACCATTAGTTCTCTACCACTTACAGAGTCGTGACCTAGCTCATAGACAAGAAAGGCCTCCCCTAGAATCAGATAACTCAGAGGGATGCACAGACAGGATACCCAGTGGTCTTTCTACTGCCTTAAAATCTTTCAGTTTTTCTGATGAGGAGGTCTGAGTGGGGGACGAGAGGTGGACAGACAAGGGGCCAAGAAGTCAGGGCTGAGGATTCTACCCCTTTCAGGTTTGCCTGGGGCCCTCCAACCTCCCTGGACTTTGGGGCTTCTGTGGGGAGAGAACCTGAGCCCATGGTGGCCCTAGAGCAATCACTCCTGGCTCCTCTCTTCTCTTTATTTTTAATTACTCTTATTTTAAATTGAGATATACATACAGTAAATTGAGGTGCTCAGCAGATTTTGATAATGACCTCTGAACTCATGCCTGCCATACAGGGTTCCCTTGGGATTTCTGGGGTCTGAAGGTGTGAGGTTTTGAATGTTGCCTTGTTTTTTCCCTCTTAACTTCCCTGTCCCCATATAAACATACTGAGGAGTTTTGAAATTCTCTTCGTCTTGCCCACACTGCTTCCCTGTGACCCTGCCCTGTGTTGCCTTTTCTACCCTCTTTGTTCTGCCAAGAATGTCCGCCCTGCAGAAGTCAGGTTGCTGATCTTGGAGAACATTCTTCTGAACCCAGCATATGATGTCTACCTGATGGTGGGGACCTCCATTCGCTACAAGGTGCAGAAAATCAGGCAAGGAAAGATCACAGGTATGTGAGCTGCTCCCCTCGGTAATCATGGCAAATGTTTCCCTCCTTGTGAGAAAGTCAGGAGACTCAACTAGCTGTGTTGCTGTTGCTGTGGGCAGGAGTACAGGACTGGGTTTTGCCCTGGTCTGCCGTGCACTGCTGGGCAGCGTTGGGCAGTCCATGGCCTTTTCTGGAGTCCAGTCTCTCCGTTGGAGTCCTGGGAGCCTTTCCGCCTTGTCTCTGAGGGCAAAACAAAATAATGGATGTGGAATTGTTCTGGACATTTTAAAGTGCCATGTACATGTGATGTATTTTAGATGATGAGTGTCCTTACTGTACCACCAATCCTTCTAAGGATTATCGTCGGATTTTATTTAACTTATTATTTAGTGAGGGTACCGGTAAGATGTTACTGCTGGTTCAGAGGAGAATCCAAAGGGCAGACACATGTACAAGCATCAGGAGTGCTGAAGTGAATTTACAGATAGATGCAAACCTGGTCACAGTCCTCAGGACAGTAGTCAGTTGCATCTCCAGCAGAGAAAGTGTATTTGCATATGCATGGACAAGAATTGTTTGCTTTACCATCAATTTTCTATAACTTGCAGACTTGTGAAATAGCTCAAAGACAATGAAACGTGTGAGCCCCTCTAGAATTAATATTTTGTTTAGAGGTTGTATGTGTTGCATGGCCATAGCGCACGGTATCATGGGCCTCCGGTCCAGAGTGCTATGCTTAGGGCCAGGGCACGGTCGTCAGTGCAGCTTCAGGCACGTGTCCAGGGCACCTGCCTTTACCCAGTGGGCAGGGCTGCTCCACCTGGGGTGCAGTGGTACCATTAAGAGGCAGCTAGGTACTTAAGCATACGTGCAACTTGAGCTTGTTCCATGGATGGATCCTAAATGGTACTGCCTCGTTTAAAGTCATGCTCAGCTACAAGCAGCACATCTGGTTAATCACTGTGGTATGGCAGAATGCTTCATCTCTCAGAAGGCCAAGAAAGCTGTGTGGAGGTGCCCTCCTGCCTCGGGGCCCCGTTCTTGCTGACGAAGGGTGTTTCTGAGTGTCTGCGATGTGCTGGACAGGCACTGCCAGCTTTTGTGCACGGTGTCCAGTCTGAGGTGGTGTGGGACATGGGGTGTGCTGGGCAGAGTCCAGTGTGCATCCCAGACTTTAGGAAAGCAGATGCTGAAAGGACAGGTGCAGCCACAGGTGTGGCTTCCTGAGACTGGAAGGGAAGGAGGCGCACAGGTACACTGAGGCAGCATCCTAGTGGGGAGTGCAACGGGCTAGTGTGTTAAGGTACCAGAGGATTAGAGGAACAGGGATTTCTCAGAAATATAAAGTTATATAGAAACACGACAAGGAAGTGGCCATGCAACCTGCAAGAAGATGGTATGAAAAGCCCAGTCGTTAATGACAACATCTAACTATGACTGAGCATTTTCTACATGTTGGGCCTGGTTCTAAGTGCTTTTCATGTATAACCCACTTAACCCTCATTTTATAACCCAGCAACCTGGGAGATGGATTGATTTAATCAAAAGCTTCTAGCACTCTTTTAATAAAGAGCTTAAGGAGTGATTTGATAAAGAGATTTTAAGAGCTCATTCTAAATTGGTTCAAGTGTCATGACCCAGAGGAACTATACTTTCCAGGGTACCAAGCAGTGGATTCTATTAATACCCTCATTTTATAGATGAGAACCACTACCCGTGTCTGTCAGTTTATCATACTGTGATGCCTGTATGTTGCTGTGATGCTGGAAGCTATGCCACCGGTACTTCAAATACCAGGAGGGTAGCCCGTGGTGGACAAGTTTCAGTGGAACTTCCAGACTAAGACAGACTAGGAAGAAAGGCCTGGCGATCTTCCAAAAATTAACCAGTGAAGACTCTATGGATCAAACAATACTGTCTGATACAGTGCTAGAAGATAAGCCCCCCTAGGTTGGAAGGCACTCAAAGTACACAGTGGTAACTGACAAGGACTCCAGTGGCTGCAGTGGTGGAAATTGCTGAGATAAAATGTGCTAAGGTTTGGAAAACCACTGCATGAGCGCATGTATTTAAGGGACTTGGAGCCCAGTGCACAGGTGAGCTGTGGCTGTCCAGGATTAATGCACCCTGGCCCTCAGGTCTGAGCTCCTATAGGCCACCTTCTCAGAGGGGCCACCCTGACAGCTCTATCTAAAGAGACACTCACCCTACTCCCTAATACAGGGAGGGGGTGAGCTCCCCATCACTATTGACTCAGACCCACCTCCCCAGGACCTCCATCGTCATCCTCGAGCTTACGCGGGTTGGGGTGGTGCTCTGACAATTAGAAGCCCATCCAGGGGTCAGCCAGGGTGGGGAAGGGTCAGAGATGTGTCTCCTAAAGGAACATGGGCTGCTTAGCCTAGAGAAGGAGGACACCCATTTGCTGCCCAGACAGTGGCAGGGCTATTCTGGGGCCCAGGAGCAGTCTCCCTCTGTCTGTAGCCTGAAAAAGTAGAGCCAGGAACCAGACAGACAGGGGCCCTTAACATCTGCAAGGGGCTTCCATATTCAGTGCTTCTCATGAGTAGTGAGTTCCATGTTAGGAGAGGTATCTAAGGAGTCTGCCAAACAAGCCCCTTATTTTCATAGTATTAGAGTTTTGTAAAGAGGGTTACAGCTGTGTTACGCAAGATCCCTAGGGAGTCAGTATATTGTTTCCAAAAGGGCTTTCCTCTTGAAGAACTTTAAAGCAAACAAGGGAGGAAGCTTGTGCTTCATAAACCTACATGAAGTCATGTCACTTGACTGAGCAATTGCATTGCTTTATTATGACATTTACCCTGATGCACTGCTTCCAGATCTGAACATAGGGTATATCTGTGTCTTAGGCTGGGTTCTCTAGAGGAGCAAAAGCAGTGAAGTGTGTGTGTGTGCGTATGTGTATATATATATGTGTGCACGTGTATATATGTATGTGTGTATGTATGTATGTATGTATATGTATGTGTGCATGTGTATGTGTGTATATGTGTGTGCGTGTGTATATATGTATGTATGTGTATATATATGTATGTGTATATATATATATAGAAACATTTATTTCGAGGAAATGGCTCACGCAGTTGTGGAGGCTGGCAAGTCCCAAATCTGTGGGACATCAGGCTGGAGGCTTCTTCTGACTCACATGTTTGCAGGGGCTGATAACCCAAAATCAGCAGGTCAGATAGCAGGCTGCTGCCTCATGTCCCAAGAACCAGAGGTCAGAGGACGGCAAGTCAGAGGCAGGAGCCAGAGAGGGCAGCTTTGCCAGAACATCTGTATGTACTGGATGCAGGTCACACCCCCAAGGAAATGCCCCTTTCAACTGATTGGCTGCTCATATCAGATCACAAAATGGAGAATGATTACATAATATCTGCCAAACTACTAAGAATCATGGCCTAACCAAGTTGACTATGTCCTTAAGCATCACACTCTGTGAGAATCACAGCTCCACTGCGCTTTGCGTAATTAGAGATGAGGAAATGGACTGTGGATACTCCAGAGGGTTCCCTAACCCTGGGTGTCATCAGCTTCACCTGAGGGACTTGTTAAACCATGAGCATCTGAGGCAGCAGGTCTGGGGTGGGACCAGTTGTTTGCAGTTCCTCGGTGATGCTGATGGTCTAGGGAACACACTTTGAGACCATCTGCTCTAGGACCAATTACTGGGGACCTGATTCCTAGGAATTCTGAAAAAGGCTTTAGCTGAAACTCCGCCAGGAGCTTTGACATGACACCTTCTGTGCCAGACCCTGAATTGGGACCCAGAGAGGGATGGGTGAGCAGGTGGGGACATCGCCTGCAGTTCTCTAGGTCTTCTTCCCTCTCTCTCGCTGGAGGGGTGGAACGTGACCACACCCAGCAGTTCAGCGAGTGCATTCCTGGATATGAAGTTCTGAGGACTCCGGAGAGGGAATCTAATCATGGCTAGACCTCCTGAGTTGAACTTGGCTCTGCTGAGGAGCTGCTGTGGGGCCTGAGCAAGTCCTCATCATGGTTTTGACAGTCTTCCCCTCTCTAAAATGTAGGCATCAGTCGTGCCAATTTTAGGGTTGTGGAGGGATAAAAGGAGGCCCTGTACACACAAAGCACCTAGCGTGGGTCTCACACATCTTGATTTTCCAGTCAGTGGTAGCCATTTGATAACCAGAAGGCCGTGGTCTCTGCTTACCAGGTGAGGAGGAATGTGTAGACGTGGTGGGTTTTATAGAATCTGTTATTTCCCTGGGGAAGTTGGTTTCCATCCTGGCTCAGGTCAGGCAAGCTCTTTTCCCTAAAATGTACTCAACAGGACACTGAGCAGGGAGAGGTTAATGGATGGTCAGGTTAGCCACAGTCAATTCTTTGCAAATTATAGACCCAGCTCTGGAAGCCTGGTGGGAGATCATTGACCAGAGCCTTTTAGAAGGCCCTAGAGGCCAGACAGGGCCAGGGAGGCCACCACGGCCCTCTTGCAGAAGCGGAAAGTCCACAGTGATGGACAGAAATGGGTCTAATGTTAGTATTCTCCAAGCAGCAGACAATTCTAGTCAGAGGCTGCAGTTCATTTAAAAGAGGGGGGAAAAAAGCAGCTTATGGCAGACACAGAAAATCCATTGCTTCTGAAAACTCATGGATAGTGGCAGTTTTGTCCACAGGCATGGAGAATAATATTAAAATTTTAAAAACCGAGAAAAAGTAAGCAAAAAAAAAAAAAAAAAATATCTAGTAGCTGTACTGACAGCAGGGTCCAGAGATTCGGGGTGCATGTGCATGTGATACTGATATATTGACTTCTAACGATTCATTCTTTCTCTGTCCCCCTCCTCCCCTTTTCCCTGCTCTCCTCCTCCCCACTTTCTTCCCCTTCCCCCCGCCCCCTTTTCTTCTGTTTTTGGGTGGTCAGAGCTCACGATGCCCTCCGACCAGTACGAGCTGCAGCTTCAAAACAACATCCTAGGTGCTGAGGGGGACCCGGCCTGGCCTGTAGCTGTCCTGGCCCAGGAGACGTCTACTGTCACCGCGTTGCAGCTGGGACAGAGCAACCTTGTCCTTGGTCACAGGAGTATCCTCTTCCTGGCCTGTGTGTGTGCACATGTATGTTGTGTGTGTGCAAGAGATCTGCTTTTCTGAACTGTCCTAAAAGCCAGACGTGGGCTAAAAATAGCCCTGTTTTCCCCCAATGGTCTAAAACTCAGAAAGACCTGAAATAGCGGCACCGCTGAGTGGAATTGCTCACCTCCGCAGATGAGTCACGGAGAGGCTCCCAGAGGTGGGGACCTGGTGGGAGCAGAGCATCACTCCCCGCCTGCGGAGACTTCTCACAGAGGGAGGCTGTCTGAGGCTTGTGGGTGGTTGATGTTCTAGACCTGTCCATGTGCCCGAGGGGTCTGCAGTAGGTTTGCATCCCCTCCCATCGAGCCATGGGAGCCGAGCTCAGAACTGCCACTGGGTTGGTTGCTGTCTGTGTGTTGTCCCTTAACTAAGACCCCAGGTATCCGCATGCAGGGGGCTTCCAGGTTACCCAACAGCACGATTTACGTGGTTGAACCTGGATACCTGGGTGAGTGTTGGCGTCCAGGGTCCTCCTGGGTGTTGTTCCTTTGTGATTAAATGGTTTAAAAAAAAAAAGGAAAGAAAGCAGCAGGCTGACACTCTAGGGCCATGCTGTTGCCTGTGAGGCCCAGGGCCATCAGCCCGCCGCCCCCACTTGGAGGGTTGCCGCCTGCCCCTTCCTGTCAGTGTGCAGAAACAAGCAGGGGAGGGAGCTGAGACCAGGCAGGCAGAGGGCTTGGCACGGCAGAGTGGGGAGGGCTTTGTCCAGACCTGACTACTACTGTGGACATTGGAAGGTGGGGACCAGTGGTCAGCTCCGTTACATAGGAGCCCATGAAGGGAGTGTGACAGTTGGAAGACGCTTGGTGGGGACATGGGGGAGGTATTTGGCCAAGAGAGGAGGGAGGAGTCCATAGCAGTGAGGACTGGGCAGCACAGCCAAGGCTTGGAAGTCACTGGAGACACACTTGTCCTCCTGGGTCTCCATGGCAACGCTGTCTTCGGTCTGAGCTGACTCACCTGTTGAGTGCACTGAAGCAGTTCAATCAAGATGGCGTTTGCCTAGGGGCAGCAGAAACCCAAGGCTGGCTTGCTTACTGTTGCTGGAAAGGTCGTTTGGTGCAGAACCAGGCTCATCACCTCTGATGATGTAGTGACACCTGGCAAAGTGGCCCTTTGTGCTTTCTTGGTACTTTGCACAAGCCGTGCTGGGCACTGGAGCTCCTGGGGAAAGAAGACGTGCTCCTTGCCTCTGTTTGGAGGGGCAGGGAACCAGCACAGCCAGGCAGCGGCACAGCAGTGGTACATAGTTCACAAATACACACAGAGGACCAGTTTCAGGGAGATGATATTTGAGGTCGATGTTTCTTAAGGGAAGGGTATCGCTGGCAGAGGAAACAGCCTGTGTGGTGGTATGGGATGGGAGAGGGCATGTGTCGTGGGAAAATGGCAGGCAGTCTGGTGCAGTGAGAGCCTTGTGTGTGGGCAGAGGGCAGAGACCTGGCCAGGCAGGTATACACAGGGAGGGCTTCCAGTGCCAGGTGAGAGCTTAGCCTTACCTGTGGACAGGATACAGGGTGATGAGCACCTGTGCAGTCAGAGTGGGATGTACTCGCCGTTGGTCCCTGCAAGCCTGAAAAGTCGGTTCAAGGCCGATGCCTCACCCTGTGTGGCAGCCGGGCAGTCTCCAGGGAGGGTGGCCTTGGCCCTTGGCTGTGGGGACCAGGTGAAAGGTGCTGGGCTCCAGGTCCCCAGCCTCTGTGCTCATGGCAGCTTGGTCCCATCCTCTCCACCCCCCTGCCCTGTCACCTGAGTGGTCAGGCTCTGCCACTTGCCTGTTTTCAGGGTTTACGATTCACCCTGGTGACCGGTGGGTGCTCGAGACAGGCCGCCTGTATGAGGTGACCATCGATGTGTTCGACAAGTCCAGCAACAAGGTCTACTTGTCAGAGGTGAGTGCCCACCTCAGGTCCTGGGGAATGGCGAGTGGGTGCATCTCCCGGAGCTGCTGCCAGGGAGCAGCCCCAAGAGCACCAGGGGTCTCCAGGCATGCAGGCGGAGTTGGGGTTTTTTGCATCGTAGTGAGGCAGCTAGGTCTGTGGGAAACAGGGTTGAGGACTCATGGAGCATCACAAGACCCTGTAAGCCTGTGAGTCTGTAGGCTGTGGCCATGCCTCCTTCTCCTTCAGACTGGAGGTGTCAGCACTGGGAATCCGCTCTGCCTGCCCTGCAAAGGCTCGGGGAGCACTTGCTGACCCCGTTACTCTGCCGAGGCAATCCCAGTGTGACTGTGCTAACCTGCTGGCTCTGGAAAGGAGCGTCAGGCACCTGGGAGAGGTAGAGGCACATCCTCTGCACGAATCCCCAGGGCCACCAGTTAGAACCTCAAGGCCCCTTCTGGGATGCCTGAGGTTTGAGGAGGAGGCAAGGGTCACCCTTTGGCTTCTTTGCAGAAGTCATTCCTTCCCTCCTGTTAGTAGACAAATGCTGGGTTGATCACCGTTCTCTTCAAAGTGAGTTTTAAGGGATTTTGATGTCTTTCCTTTTTTTTTTTTTTTTTTTT